GACACAGCGTCTCCTGTACTTCAGTGCAGTGATTCTCAACCAGGCCAGTTTTGTTCTCCGTAGGGACAGGGTTGGAAAACACGTGTCATTGTTGTAATGGGGTGGGTGGAGAAAGGCAGCAGGGGCCATGGGGCGAGTGCTGCCGGAATCCTGTGAGCTGAGGCCAGAGGTGCAGGCCTGCATTCCCCAGCTCACAGATCTGCCCCAGCACGAAGAGCCACCAAACCCCACGTCAGTAGTGTCAGGGTCGAGAAACCCAGAGGGCGGTGTGGAGAGGGCTGTATCCCAGACAGCTGCTGTGTTTCTGTCTGACACTTGGGTGGCGGAGGCGTGCACATGTCACTGTTTCTCCTCATGTTGTTTCCTGGGCAGAGAGAGCAGAGAGTGATCCGTGCCGCCACCCGGAGGGGTCACGGTCACCCGGGAACCCGCAGGTTGTTCATTTGCTAACGCTAGAAGCCGAGGGAGAAAGCGGGAAGACAAGGGAGGAAGTAACCTGTGGAGAGGCTCTGCACAGACGGCTTGGTTTGCCTTTCTGAGGCATTGGCATTACTCAGAGACGGTCGGAAACCAAAAAGGGGCTCTAAAGTGTCAGGGAGTTACGTGCTCACATCTGTCTCTTGGAAGGGTCACTTCAGAAGTTCCGAGGAGAACTGGTTGGAAAGATACAGCTAAAGATACGGAGTGGATTAAGAGTCCTGTGCAGTCATTTACGTAAGAACTGAGCCAAGGAAGTGGAAGAAGAGATGGAAAAGTAGAGGGCTTCTGGAGGTGCTAAGGCTGCTGAATGGATGGTTGGGGCGCCAAGGGATGGGAGAGAAGTTAGGGAGGCTTGGGTTATTCATGACTGACTTGGGCGAGCATAGATAGAGCACGTCATCCCTTCTCCAAAGGAAGGTGGGCAGGTCTGGGTGGTCAGCAGCCGCTGCTCCTAGCACGGAGCCCGGTGTCTGCCCTCAGGGATGCCTAGCGAGGTTCCCATCAGCTCGAGATGCGACTCTTACGGTCCAAAGGCGAAGCCGTCCAGTGCAGCACACCCAGTGCACAAAGTGGGGAAGAGGAAGGGTCAGTGCCATGAAAACTTACAATTAGCGGGGATGTCACATAGACAAACGGAGTACTGTGTCGCATTCTCCTGGATAAGAATAACAAGGCTTCCTGCCGCTGGCCAGTTGGATTGCTTTTGGTTTTCTTCTCTTAGAAGACCTCCTTTATCGTTGTCCTTTGTGACTCATCTGGGATATGTATGTAATTCACGTCCGGGCTCAGTGTCATCGCTTCAGGGAGTTTTTGTCTGCCTTCCCAGCGTCTAGGTTTTCATTGCCTTAACTGTCTCATCAGTAGGACATGTGCTATCTGCGGTTATCTAGTTCATTTACTTGTTTCACTTTTTGTCCACCAGCGCATTGGGACGGCAGCTTAGGAGGGTGGGAAGGGCCTGACCGATGTGTTCACTTTGCATCCCCGTTACCTGGAAGGGTGTCTGGTTCCATAAATTTTAGAAAGAATGAGTAAATGAATGAGGTAGACAGTGCAGAAGGAGGAGCAGGTTCTTTCAGTTTCTCATCTGGTATGGGCAGATGAATTCAGGGTTGCATGTGATGAGTTTTAGGCCTATGGATAGTAACATAGACACGTCCAGTGGGCCGTTACACATACAGTAGGTGCAGATTAAACACCGTAGGTGCAGATGTCCAGGTGTCCACTGAACATGCAGACTTGAAGCTCAGGGAGGACATCACAGCAAAGCTGGCTAAGGTCGACTGAGCTCTTACCATGCGCCTGGAAAACGGATCTGTAGATGATGGAAGAAGGTGAAAACGTTGAGTGGGAATGTCCAAAAAATATGCATGAGAAAAAAATAGGAGCCGAACTCTGGGAACACTTTGCCAGCAAGAGATGAATAGTGAAAGAGGCACTTTTAAGAAGACGCAACGGGCAGGGCAAGAGCTGGGAGAGGAGAGGACGGTATTGAGACTCGGGAGGAAGTTCAGGGAAGGAGGTTCAGAGAGGTTAGGAACGTGCTGGTGGACGTCAGCCTCAAAGAGGAGATGGGAAAGAGCTGTTTCAAGAGATGCTGGAGAAAGGAAATAGGTCGAGGGCTTGGGAATTTAAAGTTGCCACTGGGGAAAACCCGGGTGAGAGGGAGAATCTGAGAATGTAGTGAAGGGAGAACGTGTTTTGTTTGTCGTTCTTATTTTCCTGTGAACCTTCTGGTCCTCCTGTTCTGTAATTGTCCCAGCGGGGCAAGAGGCAGCAGAGTCTTGCTGGCTGCTGCATTGCTTCCAGGTTCGTATCTCGGCACATGAAAGGCCTGGAGCCAGCGGGGCCTTGTCGGCTGTAGCCGGATGCAGCCGCTGTTAACAGCGAGGGCAGAGGTTCCACCGAGAGGCCTTTACTTCAGCTGCTTCACTGCCGTCAGTCCTTGGTGGTGTATTTTTCCAAGTTGCCCTGGCTTCCCATCTTTGTATTTTCCCCTTTCTACTAAGCCCGGAGTTCTGATTGCATCAAAGTCATCTCTCACAGGTAGCCAGGTTTCTAGTAGTTGAAATGCGTTAGCACTGTCCACAACTGCTTATTTAATTAGGAAAACCTGTATCACACGTTTCTGTTTTTGTTTTTTTGAGACAGGGTCTCACTTTGTAGTTCAGGCTGGCCTTGAACTCACTTTGTAGCCCAGGCTGGCTTCAAACTGATGGTGACCCTCTTGCCTCAGCCTCTCAAGTGTTGGGATTACAGGTGTGCACCACCACGCCCAGCTTTTCACACATGTATCTTATGAATTAAAAATTTGCATTAACATTCTCTTCTTTTTTGTGGCAAGAATTAGGTTTCTGGTTGACAAAGTACGAATACTATTTGGAACGTGTTGTCCAAATACAAAGTATACCTTTAATTTCCTAATACGTGAATTCTAAAACTTCTTATCTTGATTGAGATTTTCACATTTATGTCTAGCTTTAACATGCCTGTAGATAATGAAGCCAGATAATAGACTGAAAATAAGTATTTTTCCTCTTCGTTGCTTTTCAAAGGAAACATATTTGACAGACTTAAAAAAAAAATGAACCAACTTGTTTATTGAAAAATTGTTTCCCAGAATTTTTACTTCAGACTCAGGAGCCTAAAATGTCATCTCTTTGGATGATTTGTTTAAAAAAGAGAGCAAAGTATATGATATCATGCAAAAATCTACGAAAACTGTCGCCTGTAGTTCTTCCTCGTAAAAGTAGCCTTGTTCATCAAAGATGATAGTTTGGACTGACTACTCTCGACGAAGAGTAATCAGTCAAAATACCTTGACCAGACAGGCGAGTCTTGCTAAAACAGAACTGGCATGTAGGTCTGGGTCTGAGAGAGACCGGGCAGGGAAGACGATAGGGGAGAGAGGCAGAGCGGTACAAGCTGTCCCAGCATCTCGGGTGGGCCTCAGATTTCCGGTAACGCCGCTGGCTGATGTGCCTGATACAGAGGGGTGTGGTAAGCTCACCTGGCGCAGACCTTGTGGCATTCCTTAGCCTTTTGTTGTCAGGACTTCTCTGTATTCTTTTATAGAGTTCCCCAGAGACCTCTGTATGCACTATGTTGATCAATATTTACTGCTTTTGAAATGAAAACTAGTCCCATTTAAAATATGAATTCACTAAAAATACCAATCATGAATTCATTAGTTTTTTAAATAGTATCCTTTTATGAGAATGACTATATTAAAAAAAAAAACTAGTGAGAAAAATGTCATTGCTGTGCATTTTTGTCAATCTGTCTAGCATCTGGCTTAATTGAGGGCAACTAGATTTGCACATCTGTTTGTGTATTCAGCCTGTTACTTGAAATATTTCACTATAGGTCATGAGAGGTTGAGCATGAAAAAGACAAATTAACTCTTGATAGCATTAAGAAAATAATTTTGAGTTCATGGATTGCTGAGAAGATTTCAGGAACTGCCTGGGACGTACCTGGACCGCACTTTGAGAGCCACTGGACAGAACTGTACGTTTTTTGAGGGTGGGGAGCCCTGTCTTGGGCTCTTGGCTTCTCTCTAGGCCTGGTGAAATGGTCTGTATGTTGCCGCCTGGAATGTGTGTGCTGGGTCACCTTTCCCCTGTACAGTTTCACGGGAAGGAAGCAGCCTGTGAACCCGGCTGTGACTTCTTGTCGCACGGCCTTTCCCCTCCGTTAGTCATGCTGTAGGAATCCCTCTGCCGCCTTGGACACAGCTGCCATGGCGGCGCCACTGGACTCTTTTCACTGTGCCCGATGACATTGTAGACTGGTTACAAATCAAGATAAGTAGTTTAGGAAAAAACACTCTTTTTCAGTACAGTGAATTCTAGGAAGTCTTGGAGGTTGCTGGGAGAAAGAAGCTAGAATTGTTTCCTGGAAACGGAGTGGAAAGTCCACAGAAGTTTTAGGGGCTCCTCTGGTAAATAGGGTCCATGCTACCGCTCGGGGCGCGCACGCCGTCTTCCAGTTCACGTTTGCTGCACGAAGGCAGCGGCAGGTGCCTGGAGCGTGAGTGGGAAGCAGTACTCGGGCCTCCAGAGTGACAGCATTTTCATTTGCCAGATGTTAGGTTAGTGTTCTGCGGACGGATCAAGGATGTACACAGACTTAGGCTGAAAGTATGCATACTGTTGGTATTACGTTTTCAGACTTTTGATGAAACATAGGTAATATCTTTAAAATTACATAGTGAATTTTGTGTAAACAATGAGGTCTGCAATGATAGCATCTGTGTTGGAACAAATGTATCAGTTACATAGGAAAAATCTTCATAAATGTAGCATAAAAACACTGACTTATGCATTTGATTGGCAAAGGAATGGAAAGAAAAGCATTTTAGAAACGGCATGATTGTGTCTGCTTGATCTGACTGAGGAGTGGCGTTTTTCTAACTGCTTGTCTCTTGGGCACGTACGTCACCATGGTACACTCTTACTAACAGTCTGTGAATTTCTTTCTCTGTCCTTTTCTGCTGGGCCGTATATTGCTGCCTTTAGCGCTTCAGCATGGAAGGGATCTCAAATGTCATTCAGAATGGCCTCCGCCACACCTTTGGAAATTCAGGTGGAGAGAAACAGGTGCTCAGTTATTCTTATTTTTCCTCATTCTTTGCTTTTTGCATTTTTCTGTGTAAGTGAGGATCCTGGAAGCTGGAAGTTTTACTAATTTACTAAGACCACTGCTTAAAAGAGAGAAATGCAAGTTTATTATCTGTATAGCCTTAATGATGAGCAGAATTTCCCTTTGGGGAAAAGCATTTTCCAGGTTGGACAGAAGACTAAATACATTCTTAGGACAGGTTTCAGAGTTCCATTTCTCACTCCTGCCTTTAAACAAGTAGATGTTAACATACTGACGTGGTAAATTGCATGTATAAAAATATTTATGACAATAACTAGAATACGCTACTCTAATTCTAAAAATCTAGGCAACAGGATCTCATTTTAGGGGAAAGGAAACTAGATTTTGGTATCTTTGACCCTAGAGTTTTAGGTAAAAAACGTGTAAAAAATATATTTTCACCTACATTAAGTGAAAAATAAATTTTTTAAAAGGTACTAGGGATTGCACCTGTGGTCTTCACACTGAGCTACGTTCCCAGAAGTTTTTAAATTTTAAAGACAGATCTCACTAAGTTTCCCAGGCTGGGTTTGAACTTTGGATCCTCCTGCCTCAGCCTCTCAGAGTGCTGGGATTATGGGCATGTGGCACCATGCCCTGCTTACTTTATAAAGCACGTTATGTAGTCAGCAAGTGAGTTGTCTACCAAATGGTCACAAAAAGTCATTCACACGAAGTTACACATAGTGTGATGATACAGTCACACGTGCAGCAAATTGCTTTTATTTACATTTTTGTGCAGCGATTAAAGTGCTCTCCTGAACACGGGCAGCAGCTATACTAATGAATGTGCTTAAAATGACCCCTCACCATTTGATATTTTAACTTCAAAACTCTTTTAAGTTAACTCTTAAGTGAAGATGAAGAAGAGTTACAGACTGTAGCTCTTGCGTAGTTAAATCAAATCCCTAGAGTTCACTGAAAGTTCTGTGTGTCCCTCGGAGGAAGCAGTTGATATTAAAGAGGGCGGATTCACACTGACCTTCGCAGTTTACAAAGGGGACCCATGAAGGGATGGGTGCATTTTTATTTTTAATCTGGTGCCACTCACCTCTAACCCACAAGATGGAAAAGTAACATCTAAACAGGGCAGGGCAGCGGGCAGGGAGTGCCGAGGGCACTGCCACCAGGCCCTCGGGCCAACATGGCGATTCCTGGTGCTTCTCCAAGGTGCTTCACGTGTGCTGTGAGCAGAGCCCCTGGAGGGCGTTTCTAGATTTTGCAGATGTTCTTTACAGAGAAACCTAGCTGGTTATACACGAGGACTGCGCCTTGGAGAAGTCTATTCCACAAAGATAGTGGAACACTTAAGTTTCTTAAAGGTTGGGCAATTCACCTGTACTGCTTTTCGGGACCTAGGTTACTATTAACCGATCCCCGTTATCTTGTTTTTCAGTTTTGACTGGGTAAGACCCAGTGTGGGTTAGGAGTAGAGCTCAGGGCTAGTGCTTGGGACTGAGCAATGGATCAAGCTGAGGAGATTCCAAGTACAAACCACTAACTTTCCCCAGCAGGGTGTGCACACGGCACTCAGCTGTGTTTTGTGGGGAGGCGCTGGGCGCAGGAGAAGCTGGACAATAAGTTTTGGATTATGCTTTCATGTGATACAGCTTAGGACAGTTCTGATGCTTGTGAACCTTTGCAGATAGCGAACTAGGCAGTCTGTCTCGATTTGAATCATTAATTTTTACTATTTGTTGCCCCTTTAGGCCATTTTCTCCTTTAACTTTTCTCATTTCCTTTAATGTCTAAAAACACTTGTAAATACTTACACAGTAATTTAAAGTAATAACACTCATACGCTTCTGAAATTATTTGGATGTGTCTTTGTTAGCTCCTGGAAGAACCTGTTACGTATTTTTTAAGATTATCATGTTACCCATATTGACTGTTTTGTTTTGCCAGAATATGAATGGTTTTGAAAGAGAATTACTTGGTTGTTGGAAATTATTTTTTGTGAATGTGCATAACAGTTTATGTTTTTAGTTTAATTACAGTTTTTAAAAATGTGTTGGAAAAGGTAGAAGGAGAATGTTAGATAAGACTTTAGAAATGTATGAGTTGAGCAAATCCTCTTCAGACCTAGTCCTATGAAAGTTTCAATAACTGAAACGTAAAAAAGTGGTTCCTTATGTTGACCCAAAGTTTGTATGACGCAATAGGTGGGCAAAGCATTATGCTCCAGCCGAGTGAGGCCCACGCCTGCATTTGCATTACCAAAGCAGCTCGTGTTTCATGTTATAAAGTAGACCTTCTGGTCATTGTATCAACTTTTTTTGTGGGTAAGTTAATTCAGATTTAAATGATGCTTTTTTCTTTTCTTTTAATTTGGCAGTATTTGACAACAGTCATTCCTTATGAGAAAAAAAATGGACCACCATCTGTTGAGGATCTTCAGATATTAACAAAAAGTGAGCAAAGACAAAATTCAGCCGTTACCTTATTTGCTTTTTGCAGGTTCTTAAATCCTTAGTTTTAGCTGTCCAGACGTCTTGTCTTATTTTGTCAGTATTGGATAGTAAACTGTGGATGTCATTATTATTAGGAGAATGAAACAACAACAACAAAAATTGACCAGAACATCAAACACTACACTAACTCTAGTGTCCAGTTGTAATTTTTCTGTTTTTCCTATTTTTTTGAAATATTTATGAGGTCAAGTTTTGGGGAAAAATGTAACTTGCATCTCCGGCGAAGTGCTTTGTGTATCTCATGCGGCTGTAGCTGTCAGGAACTGATTAGGAGAGATTTAGGAAGAGCATTCTCCTTTCTTATGGCTGTACAGCCCAAGGTGGTAGTTACGGGTAGAATATAAATTGACAGTGACATTTTAAGAACATGCATCCATTCAGCAAATACTCGGTGAAGGTCTGCTCTGTGCCATTTTCTTCGCACTTGGGATACTTTAGTGCACAAAGATATTTCAGTTTCCAGGAGCCTGCATTTTAATATCATTCAAGAAATTTATGTATTATGTTGGGTATATGGTAGGATAATGGTAAATGAGCATGAACTTCTGGTTCTGTCCCTGTTATTTTCAGGGATACTGTTAGAAGTCACTTAACCTCTCTTGCTCACACTGAAAAATTAGTATAACAAACATTTGCTACGTTTAGCTCACAGTAAATGAATTGTGCATGATGGGGAGTAATTCAGAGTCAGCCCTTAAAATGAAGGGATTGAATTTGCTAATCATCTAAGTTCTTTGTACTTGTAAATATTTATGATAATTGTTAATTAGGAGGGACCCAAGTGAAAGAGCATTGTGTAGATGGATATGAACAATTGATGTTATTTTGAAAATTCAGACATGGGGGGATGGGCAGGGGAAGAAAGGATGACAGTATCGTATGCACCACCTGACTGCCTGTGAATGTTAAGCATTTATTCTGGTGAACACAACTTAAAAAAACAGATTATATTTACATATTGATAAATCAAGGGACACCAGCCAATCCAAGCTGAAAAATCAAGCGAGCCGCTTAATTTTCAGGAAGAGCTTACAAATTTGTTAAGTGTCCAAGATCACATGGAGGATGGTTAACTGTAGGGCTAGGTCTCTTAATTCTTTGGCATTTCTGCTTTTAATAATGCTGGCTTTTGATAGGTCATTTTTAAAAATAGATATTAAAACATTGTAAAACACGATTGAAAATGAAACTACCGAATATAATAGTCCTCCAAGGAAGGGCGCGTTAAGTATTGCTCAGAGGCTAGGGATTACTGAGAGGCCGCCTTCTCAGATCAAGGACACACCAAAGTCATTGCAGTTCCATCATCAGAATGTCCTGGGGCTGAGACTTAGACGATGTCCTCATAGACTGACATGGTTGGAATTTGTGGAATCTTTGGGTGAGAGAATGTCAAAGTTAAGACGGGTACCAGGAGGTATTGTGAAGACAGTGGATGGAAGGGTGACTTTCGCTTTGAAAGTTAAAAAAAAAATGGTTCTCTCTTGAAAAATTTGGAGAGGACTTGTGCGCCTTCTGCCACTATCTATAGATGAAGCTCAGAGCAATGCCCCCTGGAGACAACAGGGTTCGTAGACATGCAGGCTTCCTTGTAGAAGCTCTTAGAAGGGGATCACGGATGCACTGATAATAGTAATGGGAATTATATTGGTGCTATTCATTATGATTTATACTAGACACTCGTGTAGGTCCTTTACATCTATGTAACTTAGTCTTCATCATAAGGCTTTGAGATAGATCTACTTGTTACGCTCATTTTATGGATGAGGAACCAGATGCACAGAGCTGGTAGGTCACAGAAGTCAGGAAATAGTCGAGCCAGAGCCTAAGCCCAGGAAAGCTGCTGTGATAGTTACACTGTGCCGCTTGTCACGTATCTCAGGAAAGTAGTAGAGTATTTTCATCAGGATATTCTGGAGGAAGTCTGAATTGGCAGTCACCGTACAATACTTGTGTGTGTGTGCTGCTTTAGCAGCACGTATATGAAGTACTTGTTTGGGAGCTTATGTTTACCTAAGTGGTCTGGATTAAAAACCCAAAACCCAAACATTATACTCAGTGGCTGCTTTTTCTGTTTGGGTCTTTATTGAAAAGACGGGGGCTGGGGATCTAGCTCAGCGGCACAAGTGTCTGCCTGGCACGTGCAAGGTCCAAGCTCAATTCTCAGCACCAAAAAAAAAAAAAAGGACAGATTTGTCAGGCTGGGGTGTAGCTCAGGAGAACACTTGCCTCGCATGTACGAGGCCCTGTCTTTGATCTGTAGCACCAACAAAACGAGACAAATCACAGCAACACAACACAAGTCAAGTTTCCCTTCAGGATGAGGTGTCTCCCTGGTTCCTCCCCAGTGAGGAGGAGTAGTAAACTCTCCAGTTCCTGGTTCACAAGACAGACAGTGCTGAGGCCCTCCTGATCCCCATCAGAGTGCACTGTAGTAGTAGTTCAGTCTAGTATTTCCTCTGACAGAGTGGAGGTGTCATGTAAATGGCCCACTTCCTTTTTTCTGCCTCCCATGTTGTAACATTTTAAATCCGGGAAGAAACTCTCGGGAGTTCCTCAGTTTGTTGAGCTTTTACTTTTGTATTCTCTTACCCAGAAAATAACCTTTAATTTGCATGATTCATTTACTTAATATTAAGACTGCAGTATTTAAAATGAAGTATTACTTTCCATCTGAGTTTTAAATTGTTACTGTTCTTCTTTCTTTTGCAGTTCTTCTTGCCATGAAGGATGATAGTGAGAAAGTTCCGAGTTTGTTAACTGACTATATACTGAAAGGTGAGTTTTAAAGTGGTGTAGATACAGTGGCTGGGGAGTTTTGATTTGTCAGTTAAATGTATCGTTTTGCTAAGATTCAAAGTGATTTCTAAACATATAATTTCACAGTCTTACTGTGTGGAGTGAGGATAAATGACTGGCATATGCTCTGAATATCATTGTCATATAACATTTAACTTTCATCTGCGGTCCTGGGCTAGAAATACTTTCCACAGCCAAACTGTGAGCATTGAGGGAGGCAGGAAGAGCACGAGGAAGCCGTCGGCGTAGTTACGTGGGTGTCAGGGTAGACCTGTTGATCCTGGGGGCCTCGAGAAGCAGTCTCTGCCATCGTGGGGCAGCAGAAAAGGAAGGACAGATCATCAGTGGGCACAGGTGGAGGAAATGCTCAAAGCAGTTACCAGTTTCAAGGGGGACACAAAGGAGATGGGTGTGGGGGGCCCACGGGGGAGGAGAGCATACAGAGAAGGACTTCCAGACGCTCGACAGTGAAAGATGGGTCATCAGTGTTAGGAACAAGATCAGGATCGCACAAGATGGGACCCTGAAGGCAAAGGCAGTGGAGAAGTGAAGGGGGTCACTGCTGAGCAAGAGCAGAAGTGTGGGTGATCAAGAGGGGGCCGAAGCACTCAGGCAGTACAGGCCAAACTGATACTTCTCAGTGAAATGATTTTTTCTAAAGCAGCAATTACTTAGTGCAACAGATTTTGAAGGCATCACAAAATGCGCCCGAGGCAAGGGGCTCAAAGTGAACAGTGCAGGGGTCTCACTTATGAGCCCGGATGTGAATGTAAAAACTCCAGCCAGCGTTAGTGGGGTGAACACGGGAGAAAGACTGTATTAACACCGCGTTTGAATACACCGTTGTTTTCCTGATGGGCGGCTTTTTCTCCCTATGAAATTCTGATTTTTTTTTATACCTGACATCTTTGTTTGCTTTTGTGTTTTGCTAGCATTGGTATGAAAGCTGGATTGTTCAGAGGTTTGTTCTTCTAGATGTGGAACAGGAATGAGACAAACACAAAGAACATGTCTTAGTTTAATTATAGTGGAGCCCCTAGGGCGCTGCCAGGAGGTCCAGAGAGTGCGCTTGGGAGGAATTTTGTAGCTCTCTTAACATTTGTCTACATGGAGGGACGTTAGGTCCCTGAGAGCACTGCGCTGGGATGGGGGCACGGGGCAGGGTGATTTTTAATTCTTAACTCAGAAAGCCTAGGCGTGTAACTGTGACCCATCTTGCATGCCTCGGGAGGCAGCATCTGGCTAGTTCTGCCCCTGCTCAGCTGCTGGCTCCTGTCTGTAACGCAGTTCCATCTGTCCTGTCCCTGCTTCTGACGAGCTGTTGCTGTGCATGTGTGACGCTTTTGTCTTGGGTCTGTGTCGTGAGGACCGGGTGGAAAGGAAGCTGGACTCACTCAGGCAGGGGCTCTGTGGTCCGGAAAATGCAGATGTTCAGGTCTGGGTGGGTGGGCCTGATGTGGGATAATTAAAAGCGCTCTTTTCCACCTACCCTCAAAATGCACAGCCTGTCAACTGGCCCTCTTCCCTGAGGACAGTAGGACACTACCCGGGAGGGGGATTTTGCTCAGGGGGATAATACTCCTTCCCCTTGTGTGGCTTGTCTGTGTCACTGTCTTAATACAGATGTATGGCTTGGCTGTCTAAATGTAATGTACGTAGTTTTAATGCAAAGATCAGAAGTGAAAGAAGGTGAAGCGGCTTCATTTGGCAAGGAAAGTAGGATGGGTGCTGTGTGGCTAATTCAGCATCTCCTCACGCCTGCCTGGGTATCCCACTCAGCCTGCTGCCACCCTGCCCCGTCTTTGGCTGTCGTGCTGCAGCCCAGAAATGTAGGTATGGCTGCTGCTGTGCGATCCTGGGTAGGAGAAAAACTGTGCGCACAATCTTGTACCCTTCTTTGACTTCATGAGGGAGCCTGTGTGCCGTGTTGCAACCCTCATGGTCTAGGGCTCAAGGGACGGGCTTATGTCGATCTCTGAGTGATACCCTGCGAGACATGGCCTTTGAGTGTCTCATTTCTGGGCAGTTCCGTTGTGTCTTGAGAGTATTTCTCATTGTTGGGTGTAGCTTCTTAGACCATTTAAAAAACTTGACTATTACCGATCCTTGCATTCCTCATTACTTAACGTCTTCATTACCTCATTGCTTCTTATATACATACTAAATGTATATAAAGTACACATTTGATGTAAATGTAGACAAGACACATTTCTTCCTAAAAGTTTTCTTTTTTATTCTAGTTCTGTGTCCCACCTAGAGCAGCATTATGGAGCAGCTTTATCTTCCGTGGACTTCGATTTCCTCTAGCATTATTCTGAAAGCTGGCCACCGTGTCCTTCCTGCCGCGGGAAACCCAGCGCACCGAACCTGGGTCTGTGCCGCAGTATTAACAGATCGTGACTTCACTAATGCTTTGTTTATAGAACCAAGAGAACTGCGGCATTCAAATTCTCGAGATGGGTTTTCGTCAATCTGCTAACAATTACGAACTGTTCTCTTAGTAGAGAGTAATATTAATTGTGCATGTGCAGGTACAGTTTTCTAGTAGGCCCGCTGAGTTTGTACGGCTTTCTACTTCGGAATTGCACTGAAGAAGTAGCGTGAAGCTGAGGGATTTATACTTCAGCTGTTCTTCAGTGATGGCAAGAACACTGATTTTTGTAAGACACCTGTCAGTATAAACATTGCCTACCAGTATTGTCCAGAGAACAAAAGTTAAAGTTCGTGCTGTTTTGAAGATGCAACACCAGAGTAAGCACTACTTTGGCTCCTAGGGAACACCGGCCTCGGTGGGTGACGGATCTGGTAGCCTGCGGCTCATTTCCCCACTATGCACTCTCACCGTGCAGTTGCGGCTGTCGGGGTCTCGCGTTCACTTCAGCTGTGCTGTGTCTTATGTGTCTGTGAAAAGTGTACTTTAAAAGGAGCTTGTATCCTTCATGGTGCTTAAGAAACTACGCTGCTGCACTGCCCGCGCAGAACCCGTGACGGTTCTGGGTTTTGTCCCTGTGTGTGGCCCCCGTTTCCCATCTTCCCTGCAGTACTGATTCAGACACAGCTACTCGTGGACATATCGCTCATCGTGAGCCGTGTTGCCAGTTTCAGTCAAGATGATGGTATTTAATAAATGTAAAGATAATATACTCAAGAGCCTTGAGTTTGTTTCTTTCCCTCTTTGCGGTACTGTACTCTTGCACTTCATACCAGTGTCTGTCCCTGAAGCATGAGCTAGAGAAGCCTCGCTTAGCCCCACGACACTGAAGAGGAACTCTAGATCCCGCTGAGCTGCTGTGGAACGACAAACGTCCTGCTTAAGGCTGTGGCCCAGTCCTCCGAGTGGAGTGTGTAAGCAGTCTGCGTGGGACCTGCGTCGCGGACTTGTAAACTTCCGCCCTTCCCTCGCCGCCTTCACTGAGAGGCCGTGACTGAGCAGCCGGAGGCCGTTCGGCGTTTGATGCTTCAGTGGCATTTCAGTTCTCTAAGGGCTTGTGCAATTTGAAAGGGCTTCCTTGTTTTTGTTAGTTTTATTTGATAGTGAATATGTGGAACTTATTTGCCACTTCCCCGTGAATTCATGAAGATGTATACTTATACACTATTCATAATCTAAATAAATTTGATCTGGATTTGTAAAAAAGCATGCCTTGTACGAGAAATGTAGCTTTCAAAGATAAACAGTATAGCAAGAAGTCCTTGGGGAAATGTTTCTGGAAGAAATTCAACAGTGGTCTGCGGAGATCATGCTGAAGTTGATGCATCTGAAGTGTGTGAAAATACACCTACTTTTCCCTGTCTGCTCAAAGTCTCCTTGTAATTACTTTGCGTGATAAACGCTTGTTCAGTAACAAACAGCTGTAGGTGTTCCCATCACACTGCTTCTCCTGAACATGACACCTTAGTGGTGAGACAGGCTATCTGTAACCTGAAAGTCAAATCCAAAACGCTTCAGTATCAAGGTGTTTAAGCAGCAATATAATGCTACAAATAAAAATTCCGTTCCTCACTTAGGCGACAGGTCACAGCGAAACCAGTTTCCACCAACGGTACCGTGAATTACCGTTGCTTATGTCTAGAAGGCGTGTATGAAACCTAAGTGAGTTTTGTGTTTATAGTTGGGTCCCGTTCCCAAGACACCTCATTATGTGTATGCAGAAATATTCTAAAAATCTAAAGACACCAGATGTCTGAAACACTTAGGCAAAGCAGACAAGACCTGTCCTCAGGGTGAGTGCATTTCTGACCTGTCACCCCTGGTAGGCAGGGTTCTGTGTCCCTGGAGCTCAGCACCCTGGGCCGTGTACTCCAGCTGTGACAAGGGCTTCTTGGGAAAGGGGCACCTGCCGAGAACATGCTGCTGTGACACTGGAGATGTGCTGGCCTGAGAGTCTCAAAGATACCGTTTGTCTTTCTGATCCTAGACAGGGAGCCTTAGGAAGTTCCATGTGATTGTGACTCCAAGTGTTTATTTGCTGCCAACAACCAAGTTGCACGTCTTCTTGGTAGAGCTTTCCTTTTTGAAGAAAACAAAAACAAACTAGAACTACGGTGCCCTCCAAGTGCCATATATCTGTTTTATTCTTCAGGAAATTATATTTGTTTTTGTTTTACAAGAGCACAACAGGAACCAAAGTAAAAGAGTAATAGATACAGCACTCAGGATAAATCATATCTTTAAAATAATAGAAAAATTTACACCTTGTCCTATATCCTGTTAGTATTTTCATATGGCCATGATTGAAAAAACAAAAAGCAAGCATTTACAATTTTTTTTTGATAAAGACTTTTTGTGCCAGGAATGGATTAATTGTCAACAAAATTTTATACTAATCAGACTGATATAAATCTATTTTGGTAACATATCATTAACAAGTTTATTTTGGAAATAGATAAAAATATTGCCCCTTGATAATAAATCTTTTTGTTTCTCTGATGCAAACAGCTACAACACCTTTTTCTTTTTTCTTTTTGATATTCTAAGACAAAAAAATGGTTAATCTTCAGATTAATAAATTAGGTCATTATAATAATAAATTAATTTTTTTTAAAGTTCAGCAACCTCTGTCCAAGTATTTACAACAATACTTGAAAGTTCCTTTACAAAACAGAACACATTTTCTTTTCACATTAAGCATACTGGGTATCTGTGTCTTTTACAACAAGCATTTTTAAAAGAAAAATCAATGCACAATGGGTCATTAGTATAAAAGTGCTAAGAGCTGTTTGAAAAGTTAACACTATACTATACAGTCATATTTGAGGCAAACAACAAACTTCCAGCTTATTGTGGACAATATTCCAGTAGTTGTTTCAAACAGTTGTTTGAAAAAAAAAAAAAAAAAAAATCCAGGAGCTGATTAGTGATGCAGATAAAAACTGCCATCAATATCTCTGGCCAGTGAGCAAATTGAAAACCAACTGAAAGCAAATCCGAATGAAGAAGATCGTGATAGAGGAGTGTCTTCTCCACAGCAGGGGTGATGCTGGCTGCTCAAGGTGCGTGCACACACACACACACACACACACTCACACACATATCTTCCCAATTAAACTGTAGGTAGAATGAGACTTGTGTTACTCAAAAAACATCTCTAAGTGATCAAAAGCATTAATATGGAATGCCTGTTTATCTGCCTTTGTTCTGGTTAAAATCTCATAAAAATACATTCAACAGGAAAACATAAATTGTATGTGTATAAATATATATGCATATATATATTATATACACATGCACACAAATACTTTTGTTTTCTGAAGCATAAGATAGTTACATAAATATTCCTATAATTGCTAAAGTTTAAAGAGGCATAATTTTTTTTGAGCTTCAACAAAGGTGCTTGAATAATATACAATTAAAATGAAGTAGTTTCTATTTTGTAGAATCATTCTATAATAAGGAAAAAAAATCCCCAAACAGTCTTTTTTAAAAAAAGTTTCCTCTTAAGCTAGAGCTTCGACAAGAACTATGAACAACCAACAACAGAACAGAACAAAGCAGTAACGAACGATGAGGTTAGCCCCTGGAAATGCCTGGTGTCCTTCACCTCCCTCCCTCCTTCCTGCCACACTGTTGGAAGAAAAGCTCCAGTGCTCACATCAAGAAGTGACTTAGGCCTTGTTCATTTGCTGTCTCTCCTAGGAACTGGCTGATTGGCTTGGAAGAAAACGAAAGCAGCAAAAAAGTATAACTGTATATACCCTTAGTAACCCGCTTTAGAGAAATGTTGCTAGCTCGCATTTCCCTGGCTTGCTCACTGCCTACTGCAGTCGTGACTGTATAGAAAAGAAACTCGTGGCTTTAGACCTGGGATGGCTATCGAAAGCTGTGACGCACTCGTCTGGTCGTTCTAAGGTGGTTATGGCAGCTGGGTCGCAGGGCCTTTTCTGTTTCCTGCTCACTTAGGCCTGAGCTTTGCAGCAACCAGTGCAGTCTTCAGAGCAGCAGGAAAAAAATATCCTCTGGGCCACTGAACTGCTTCTGTTTTACTGGATTTCTCCTCGAGCCAAGCTGACCAATGTTTCTTCCCAACACCACCCGCCCCACCCAGTTCCCCAACCAAACTCACCGTCCCACCCCCAAGAACCTCTACAGCTATATTACAAGCAAATATACCTTAGCAACTTGAAAAACTTTGGTTCTAAGAAAACACTTGGTCAGCTATCTTGAGGAAAAGTGGGAATGCTTGTTCTGCACACTGCTGTAGGCAGAGCCCATCCCAGTAAGTTCTTAGCGCTGTACATCAAGTCACAATCCAATACAATCCACTAAGCAGGTGCACAAACTCTAGTTTACTTTCAAAAGCAGATTTAGTTGATGTCTGTCTTTTAAAACCTCAACCACGCTGACTTTCTCTTCACACAGTTTGGTAGAAATTGTCTGCCTGTAGATGATTCTGTTTTTGCATGCTGTAGAAGCCACTGAATCTTGCATCGGGTTCAGCAATTCTTAGCATTCTCTGAGAACCGTCCACCTGGACACGGGTTCCCTTCTTGTCCACAGACACCAACTGATTATTCAAGGAAGAAGGCTGTTTAGTGAGAAGATGGAAAAAAAAGAGAACACATAGAATTAGCTGTCTTCTATTCCTCAAATGTACAGACGCTGAAGACCTGATCAGGTGAAGTAACAACTGCACAGCTCCCTGATGGTCAGACATGTGGGGTGTCACCTCCTACTGTACTCCCCCTATGCTTCTACTGGTGAAGTGACAAGATAACTGACTTCAAACGCTTGTGTGTAAGAGGGCTGGAAAATTAAAGGAAGTTAACCAAGCAGGCAGATTTTAACACAAAACCGTACTCTGCGAGGTTGAGGTTATGTGCCGGCCCAACCCCGGCGTGCAGCACTGCATCTCAGGTTCTGTATGAGTGGGTCTCTCGTCGCAGCTTTGGACACGGCAACTATACATTGCTCAGCACTGTTTCCCAGCCCGGCACGAGCCCAGAATGGAGGATGTGCTCCGTGCAAGAAAGAAACTCCGAGGCAGGGTAACTATTTGATGGATTTTATATGTAAGGGTTACCTAGATGCTAAGTTGGGTAAAATAGTCAGGTTTCTAATTTTCGAAGTTGTATGATTTTTAAAAATATAAAAGGTAGAATAAGAGTTGGAAGAAATTATGACTTCCCTTAATTCATAGTTTTATCCTTTTAAAATAGGCAGATTCAGAGGCCTTTTGTATTTGTACTCACACGCATACGTACTTTTTCTCCCTTGACAGGGTGTCTGCTTCTCTAGCTCGTCCTGTGGTACCGTACACAGTCTTCATCTGGTGCTGTTTCTCCCTTTGACGTATCTACCTCCTCAATATCTCCAAGCTCTGTTATTGCCCTTTCCTGAGTAATCTCTCTCCCTTTGTGATTTCTTTTCTCTCCCAATTTTGCATTAATAATTAAGAAATACCAGGTGATGAACTTTCGAGTTTTAATATAAACACTAATTTAGGAATCAATCCTCAGGTATTTGTTCATTTGAAAACCTCAAATTAGATCAGGAAGTTGGTCCATGAGAGATCAGGACTCATTAAGCAGTGGATGATGGGTATCACCCAGGGATCAATCCAGTCCTGGCTAAGAACTACATTTTTGATTGCTATGGCTCGATAGTCATTTGAGGGTATGAACAGCACAGTAAAAATTTCACTGG